ATATATATATATACACACTCACACCTTTTTATGTACAGTGCCCTCAGACAACGTATGTTGTGACTTGGCACTATATAAATAAACTGAACTTGAACTTGAACTTGAATATCAAGTGAAAACTGTGAGGTTCAGTTTTTAAAACAGAGAAGTAAAAAACAGACAGCATGCATCTGCACTGTGCTTTTATATGGTTCATATAAATTATTATTTGGAGGATGTCATGCTGCAATTCATGGAGATACATTGTAAAAAATAAAAATAAATAAAAAAATCAGTGTTCCTGATGAAAAACTTGTTTAAAAGGGGTGTACGGCAAAACAAGGGAGGGTATTTTTGGACACGTATGTGACTCAGTAGGGCTGGTATAAATAGTTGGTCCTTGCATAATATTGATCTACCAGGAAGGATATGACACTGCTCTGGACGATACAATCTCTGTCAGCTTTAGAGGCTTGTGTTACTGTAGCTGCTAAAGAATATGTCATTTTCAGTAAGAGGGAGGAATGAGGAAAGGAACAAAACCAGCAAATGTTACATAAATGTCCATGTAAGGAAGTTAATTTCAAACATCAGGACTCAAATAAGTCTAAAATGACCACCCTCTGTTTTCCAATACTAACAGTAAACCAAATGAGATAAGCCGTTTTTTTTTTTTTAAACCATAGCAATTTAATGACAGCACAGACTGGAGGCGTCAAACACAAATCCCTTCAGATACTCTGTAAGCCTGTCCTTTGCTCTCTAAACAAGAACTCATTTTTGTCCGTTTCATTTCTTGATTTTCTATGATATTCAAAACATGAATGGAAATGCAACTTTCCATAAGAGGTTCCAGACAGTCACAGTGTTATTTACAGCCTGCTGCTGATTGCTTTTCATATACTCACTTGGAGGTTGGGGTGTCCTCCTTGGAGGCAGAGTGGGCTGCGCTTCAGGCTCAGATGATCCTTGGCTGGTTTCTAGCATTGACACTGGCCTGTTGAGGGTTGGGACCTGTGGATCTGGGTCCGTCTGCATCGGCTCATCGGATCCCGTCCTGGTCGTGGGTAAGCTGCTGGATGAAGACGGATAGGACAGGTCAACAGAGGAGCAGAGAGGAGGAGGAGACGAGTCCTCGGATACCATGGTACTACTGTCAGATCGGGTAAAAAATCCACGAAGAAGGCTGATTCTATGCATCCTCTGTCAAGAAATTCTCCGTTTAACACCTCCCCCTCTCCTTTGCTGAAACTAAATAGGTAATTTAATGGATGCGTCCAAGTTGAAACCATAAAAAAATCTCTATTTCTAACCAAACTCTAGGAAAGAGTGGAACAAATGTGATTCAGTCCAGTGCAGTGATTCCAGAGAGCTGCTCTCCACCCGGAGTCTTGCTCAGCTCTGCACAAACTGATAGGAGCTCCTCTACTTCCTCCTGACTGTCAAGTTTTTCTTCATTACTTCTAGTTCAAGCGGCAAGTCCAAACTTGCTTACACTGGAGGAAACAATGTAAACAACGCACATCTGTACTGCTCCAGTCAACCCGCATGCACACAAACACACAAAGATGTGTTATTATATACGGATGGTACAACCTGCTGTATTCAAAACTATAGTAGAAACAAAAATGTCATTTAAGAGTGTTTCATGCTAACTTTGCAATAGCACAGTCCACTTTTTGATCATTTGCTAAGATTACCCACAAGGCTGACATAATGCAATGCAAACATCAGTGATGGTAAGTTTAGTTATGCTTGGCAGGAGACCAAAATCAGAGGATTTTCTGCTCGAGCAGCTTGATCAGTGGCACTAATCTCATTTTTTTCGAGTCATTGAACACACCAAAAACTAACCTTTTTTTAAACGTTTGACAGAGGCTCAAAATTATTTAAATAAGTGTCGTATATTTTCGTGTACTGGCCCTTTAAGGAATGTGAACGAGCGTGGCCGACAGGGGCACGCGCACGCTTCTCTCGGGGAGAGTTAGAGTAACTTTTTAGCTAGGTAGACGCTTTTCTTTTTCTCTCGTGAATAAACATGTCCAGAACTGAAGAAATAGTCTTTTCTTTATTTAAATGTTAGCCTAGAGTTTTATTGACATCGACCCAGGAGCAGCAACAGCCAGAAGCAGCACGGTGAGCAGAGACAGCAGAACCAGCCACCCAGCCAGAAGTAGCAGCGAGCCACCGACAACAGCAGCCCCAGAGAAGCACCAGACGAAGTGAGCACACAAGGGAGACGCAAAGCCCAGCCGAACCGAGCCGAAACGGAACCAGAGACCAGAAAGAGACACTACATAAGTAAATCAAAAAAAAAACTAGAAGGTATGCAAAAAGTGTAACGGACAAACATCCACCTCAACAAAAATCTCTATATGACTATAAATACATACGCACATACATACACAGAGTATTTATTTATATGTATGCATCTGTGTCTCAATAAATACAGTTTAAACTTTCAGTATAGAGCAGTCATTTAATTACATGAAATTATTATTTTTTATTGTTTCTGACCAATCATGAGCAACCATTGATTGTTTTATGTCGAATGTATTGAGCATCTTTTTGTAATTTGCAAACATTAAAAAGTTAAATTGTTTCATGTACTTGTTGCCACTGGTACAGATGTTGGACATTAATGAATTTTATTTTTAAATGAAGCTATGTGATTATCCTTTAAGTGTTGAGCTGTATAAAAAAGAAACAGCTAAAAGGTTATCTACTGTATATGCTGCTTCATAATGAAGGCATATTTTATTTGGAGACTGTATTGTCTTCATTCAGAGAATTGGACCAGCTTTTACCAGAGCTGCCGCTTGGATAGTTAAAATTTACGTCACTCAGGAAATTTCAAAAACAGAAATAAGAATTTTCAGCTCCTGAAAACTGCTCTGCAACCAAAAAAAAAAAAAAGGGCTAAAAGGCCTTCTGGGCCTCTCTGATGTGATCTGAGAGTGATGAGCTAAACTGATACTTACAGAAACTTTGACCAGAGGTGCCGCTGGGAAGAGAAAAATACCACACTCTTAAGAATAAACCATCTTTAAGATATTCTCCAAATTAATATGTGAATCTCAATTTGGCACAATTGTGGTTACTTTACAATTCTGTTTTCAGGGTTACTAATCCACCACAACTTGTCACAGACATGCAACTCAAACTATGATCCGAACTGACTTGCACAATGTTCAACGATCTATTTCCAAGCAGCTGGATAAGTCATGGGTTTCTGAGTGAACCTAGAATTATGAAGGTTCCTCTTTATTAATCTCTCTGTCCGCAAATTCTCTTCTCATAACACACACAATAACAGCTTAAAGTAAAAAGTGGCATTATTCATAAAATGGCAGTAATAAATACATTTTTCTACACAAAGATCAGTCAAAGCAATATCATAAAAACAATGACAGGTTAGCTCCCCTCAACTACTGGACAGGTTTTGTTGATAATTTCTGTAAGTAATCACTGGATGTACTTCTACAACTGATTATCGTTCGGAGTCAGTATGAAGGCCATCATAAACACAACTGAGTCAATTATCGCCATTTGTATCATATTTGCTACGCAGGATTCTATGACCTATATTTTATCAATGTGATCAATATTTTCCTCAAAAACCTGTTGTTTATCATATGAGACCTGTATTCTGCCTTCTAGTGTATTAACAATGTACTGCAGGAAGTGGAACTTCCTTTTCCAAATGTCTGCTGACATGAGGTCATCCACACATTTTTTTCAGGAAAACTTTTGCTAATTTTGGAGAAGTTATGGTAAGAAAAACATCAATATTGGTTGTAAATTTTTTAATAAATACTTTCTGTGTTGAAACAATGTATAATTACTTAAAAAATATTTTTCAATAGTACAGTTAAACAGTGTTAAAAATGTGTGTATCAAACTTGATACTGCAGATGCTCCAGTCCTGAATTGTCATGTGACATTTTAGTAATTTTAGTAATTTAATCAACAGTATTCTTGCCACAATACAACCCCACACTATTTTTGGATGATTGATTAATTACTGAAATGCCATTTGAAAACACATTTTGGCTATTTTCAAAGTGGTTCCTTTGAAATTATAATCTCTACGCTGTACTGACTAAATATTTACGTGTTAGATGTCAAGGAGAACTGAGGAAGAAGAGAGAAAAAAGAAAGCAAGAAAATCATCAATATGATAATAGATGGCAATTTTTTATAAAGTGAAAGGTACATCTGTGCCTGAACAAGGACAGACACTGTATTTGTGCCTACCACGGAGTGAAATAAATGACTGTAAAAAGTTCATTGTAAAAAAAAACAAAGAAGTAAACTTCCTAGAGTGTTCTAAACTTGTTAAAAGTTATGAGCAAAACTGTCTTTTGTTTCTTAATTTAACTTTGTTGTGAGCAAAATGTTACCAAAAAAGCCCAGTGTATCAGATTTGATACAAAAAATATATCATAAACAAAGTGATGTGGCAAAAAAACATTTTTTTGGATTTTGTTTAAAGGCCCAGTAAACATGTCAGTTCTAAAAAATATGTGAATTTTCTGACTATTTTTAAAAGGTTAGAGACACTGAGCTAATATTTGGTGATGAAGTACCTGAGAATTATTCCCTCTGAGCACCACTATCTTTGGCATTCCCTGCTTGAGTCAATCCAACAAAATATCTCACAAACCAGCGCACACATTTTAATAAAGCCTAAAACACCTTTTAAAGTCAATCCAGTTCAAAAAGAGCAGCACAGCTAAAGAAACGCAGCAAACAAAGAAATTATTACACCTTAAGTGTCACTATGATGCATCTTCTGAGTGCTAACACATTGTGCGAGATCTTGAAATATCACTAGAATGTAAACATTATTTTCAAGGTTTGACTAAAATGGTCGAGCTTCATTATTTCTCAACATAACATTAGTTTAAAACTCTGTGAAAGATTTACATTCCTTAAATGAACAATAGGTCTTTAGTTAGATTTAGATTTGTGAGTAGTGCCATGCCGCATTAAACAAACTGCAAAATTAAACTTTTCAGGCCCACTTTCTAAATGAGGCAGCCGGACCCCGTCAGGAAAAAATGTCAAACTCGTAACATTTTCATTTTAAACTCTGTACTTTGATTATGAAAGCTGCTCCTTCACACGGTTTAAATGTAATTACAAAATGACGTACAAATCCAACAATGACGGGAAACTGCACACAGTTCCCCCTTTTTCCCCCCCTCAGAGGAAGAGTGTTGAGATATTATACTGGTTATATTTAACCCTCCAAAATAACGATGACTGTCGCCTTAAGAAACAATGACTGTGTCTTTATCCTCCCACACTGTGTGTGCGGTCTTTGAGGCTGGAGAACTCTTTCAAAAGCGAGTCGACAGCCGACAAGCATTTTAAACCAGCAAGGATACTTTGCTGAAGGGTTTGCAAACTTCTGGTGGTGAACACAAGCTAAATGCAGCACGTCTGAACACCAGATCAGCCACAGACACAGCTATCCTTTCATAGCCTACACTAGAAATTTGGTTTTTTAATTAAACACAGCACGACAACATAAAGAAGAATGTATTTTATAGCAAAAAAAGACATTTTCATGACAAAAATCCATTTTTAAACTCCAGGTGATGTTTTGTTAACCGATGCAGATTTATAATTTTGCACATTTATGACTCCTTAAACATGCAAAGTATCAATACAGACATATCAAACCCATAACATCACCAAGGAGAACTTTCAATCTACCTTCTCTAGATAAGTGTTGAAATAGTAAAAGCAAAAGGTACTGTAGCAGCAGCATAAAGAAATAAAGGTTTCCTTGTGTTGAACAAAAGCACAGCGTGACAAGAGGGGGATACAGGAAGAAAGTGTACGCTACAAATAAAAACAGACAAAAGAAAAAGGCGTAATGAAACACGATCTGCATATATATTACCTGTCACAACATGCTGAGGAGTCCTCTGCCATGATGGTCCAAATTTAAACCCTCACACTGACACACGCACATTCAAACGGCAGGAGGAAACGACACGGGGACCCAAAAATGGGAGGAGGTGAAGACAAGCCGACGAGGAAGCAAGAAAAGCAGCAAGAGAGCATGTGAATGTGTTCTGACGAAGGTTCGAATTAAACCGGAGGGGCGGTTCTTGCCACCAAATTCTTTTACTTTTGCTAATCTAAATTTCTCACTCTCTCTTAGTTTGTGAGCCACAAAGCCTAACTCATGAAGGAGGGCTTTTACTTCTGAATGTTGTTCTGCATTGTGACTTCCTCATGTTCTCTAAAAGCTAGTTTCCCTGTTGAAAGCAGACAGAGAACATGAGCTGTACTCATAACAGAAGAACTCCACAGCGGTGGGGATTTGATGTGTTTTGAACACAAATTAGGTTTATTATTTTCAAAAATAGCTGAGAAAATGGACTTTTGAATCTTAAAAGCAGAGCACACAATGTGCATAGAGTCATGGGGGAAAAGTTCTCATTCTTTAAATTCTAGGGTTTTACATATCAGGAAACAAAATGATCTATGTAAAAACTCAACATATCTCATGTCCTTTATAGAAAAGTTCATGTTTGACGGACTGGCAGCAAGACATCCAAGTCCTGTGCATACAAAACAAGCCCAGACCATCAGCCCTCCACCACCATGCTTAACAGCAGGTGTGCTGGATTGAACTGTGCATTGTGGTTCTGTCAACTCTATTTTAGTCTCATCTGTTTGAAGAACATTGTTTTTTTTTTTTTTCAGATGCTTTGTTCTTCATTAAAAGCAGATTTGCAAGCCTAAGTCGTACTGCCATGTTTTTTTTTAAAAAAGAGGAAACTTTCATCTGCAACCCCAACCAAGTTCAGCATTTTTTCTAAATAGACTATTTAGAAAAAAAACTACTATTTCTAACTTTAACCTGCTGACTGAGACCTGTAGAGTCCTACACAGACTTTGGGATGAATTTTCTGTGATGTACATTCCTGGAACGTTTGGATGCTGTCTACAGTGTTTTCCAATTCTAAATAATTATTCTCAAGGTTGAATAATGGAATTTAAAGTGTTTAAAAATAGCTTGATAATAATTCTCAGGTTGACGAACAGAAACCGACACCTCGATATGCTCCAGAGCTGCAACCTGTCACAATCATAGATGTGGTCACACTCAGCTGATCAAATGTTTTTTATCAGCAGCATCTGGCTGCTACTTCCTCCCCTAAAACCTATAAAAGCAGCAGGAATGGACTTGAGATTTTCACACTCATCTTCTCCATTTTGATTTAGCTGTTTTCAATATACGACAACATGGTGAAACCTTGTGTATTTTGTACTTTTTAAGGTTAAATTTGAAAGATTTCAAACCCTGGAAAAAGATAAGATCATATTTATTTTTGCCCCAATATGTAAAGAAAAAGAAAAGGAATTAAAAATTTATATTCTTCTTTTTCCCATGACATAAAAATTGAGTGTTTGAGAGTTCATTGGATTTAAATATTTTAACACTTAAAGAAAAGTCATCATGAATTTTCAGAAAAACACAAACCTCATTAGTACCGTACGACCTACATGAAACTAGTGAGCTTTAAGACAACTCACTAAGTCATTACACTTCACTCTGTCGACAGTCCTTATAAAAACTATTCACCCCTTCAATATTTAATGATTTCACTGCTGTCATAAGTAAACATTAGTCGATTTAAATGGGCTTATTTTTTCAAAAATAAAAAAGTCTAAATAAATAAAACTTCTTCAATGTAGAAGTGAAATCAAAATCTTACAGAGTTATTTTTCTTTCAGCTGCTCCTCTCAGCAGGGGTCGCCACAGCAAGCAAACTCATGAGAAATCTGTCAATTGTTTTATGCAACCTGGGCTCAAACCCACGGCCTCTGGATTACGAGACCACCACACACAGCAGTGAGCTAAATTTCACCCCCTTTTAAAATAGGGGATATTTATAAATCTCTCATTTTACTAGAAGTTTGATTTTATTTTACCACATTTTTTTATTTTATGACAAAAAGACCTATTTTTATTGATCATGACTGATTTATGGCAACAATAAAAGCTTAAAACATTCAAGTAGGGATCATTTTTATAGACACTGCAGTTGGAAGGGTTCAAAAATGCTTTAAGGAAGGATGGTATAATTTTAAACATCTCAGCTAAAATTGACCAAAAATATTTATTGTACTTTTCCAACTGAGCCAGCAGATGGCAGTGAAGACAAATAATAACTTAAGACCATTTCAGCTCTTTAGATCCAAAACATCCACTATTTAGAAACATTCATTCTTTTCTCTATTATTCATTCATTTTCATATTTTTTTTCTCTAAAAGATATATTTCAACAAATAGGTGCAATATGTGTCAGAAAAAAAATCTATGAAAATAGTTTTCACAAATCAGGTCAAAGTGTACAGTATATACCTCATTGCAAATCAACCATAAAAAACTGTATGAAAACAAACACACATGGTATTTGGCATCCAGTCACAAATTTGTTATTTAAAAGCTCAAGTTAACCATCAACAGGAGAAAAAAATATTGTGATGATTTTGTTTCTGACTTTACGATTTTTTGTCTGGTCTTCATGACTTTGCAATGAATATCTTCACCAATTAAAAAATATCTGAATTCAAAACACTGGTTCTGAACAAGGCCTGTCACAACAATAAATCAATTAATCGCATGATAAAATTAAAAATGAGGATGAATGTTCCTCACTTATTGTTAAATACTCAAATGTAACTGTAAATAAACGTGTTGATTGAATACATTAATCCTCACCTGTGAGTCCTGGGAGACAGTGCAGGAGCTCTGTGTGGTAATGGTGGTGGGCCCTTAGGTCCTAACACTTTTGGAGGAAGAGGTGGAATATTTTTGTCTTCAGTGGTGACGGGTGAGGGTTTTCTAACTTCAACACTGCCTAAAGTTGAAGTAGGTGGTTGAATGGCTAAAGTCTGAGGCCTACTTTCAGTAGACTGGATGCTGGGAACAGAGCCTGATGCTTCAGTGGGGACAGGGGTGCTGGTAGAGCTGGAGACCGGGGGCAAAGATCTGCATGGTATAGGTGGAGGTAAGGTTTCCTGTTGCTCCGCTCTGGAAGGACCAGAGTGTAGATTAGGTGATGAGGGGCTGAAGCGCTGTGGAGGGCAGTTGTTAACACGTGGGGGAACAGGGGGTAGGGAAGTGTCAGAAGTCGGAGGCACAAGGGAGCCAGACTGGCAATTAACAGGAGAACTTGTGCGAAACTTAGTTCTCTGTTTTGGTACGGGCTTTTCCTTTCCTTCATTCCTCTTTTCATGAGTTACTGTGCTTCTTTTTCCTGGAACGGGCTTTGTTTCTCCGTCTTCTTCACAGTCCTGCATTTTAGACATGCATCGTTGCTTTGGAACTGGTTTGCCTCTCTGCCTGGGAGTAGGTCTCCTCGTCTCTCTAGCTCGTTCGTCTCCGTCCAGATTTTCTCCCCCCACAGAGAGAGAAACGGGGTTCTCTTTCCGTACGACTTCAGCGTGCTCTGACTGTGTGTCGTGAACGACGTGCAGATTGTTAAGGCTGGCCAGGATGCGTCTCTGGTGGCCTGGCAGGGTGATGCCCATCCGGTCCAGCTGATCAGGTGTGAGGTTCAGACACTCTTGCAGCGTTGCCATCCCAGCGCTCTGAAACGCCTCCATGTACCGCTCTAAACGAAGCTTGCACAACCAGTCCAGCACCTTAGTACTGAGTTCGGACTGAGACATGATCGATTTGTACGCGTCTGACGCATGTGTGAGGGTCAACATGCCAAAATCCACCTCCGCAGGGGAAAAAGCAGACTTCAGCACCTCTCAAATCATGACTTGACAACCTGTGGAAGAGATAAAACACATTACATCAATTCATCAAGAAAATAACAGACCTGGTCAATTAAAAAGAAACATGTATGCTGCCCCCCCCAAAAAAAATTAATGGGATACTTTTTAGTCTTTTATAAAAGCATTTAAAAGCATTGTGTCTTTTTATTTGTTTTTAGCTTATTGTATGTTTTATTGTATTGTGTCTGTGAAGCACTTCGGTCAACATTGTTGTTTTAAATGTGCTATATAAATAAAGTGATGATGATGATGATGATAAATATATATCTAATATATCATAAACATCTCATAGTAAACAATGGTAAGGCTACTCAAATGCAAACCATTACCAGAATTAGAATTTGATTTATTAGACATGAATTTACAAAAGTATAACTCAATAAAAAAATAATATAAATGTCACAAAAGAGAAAATCTTGATGAGTAATGAGTCAATCTCTCTTAGTATCTGTATTGGGTTTTAAATGGTACTGCTAGAGATCCTGTGCTGGGAAACGTTACAAATGTGCAGCAATAAATTGAGCTCCAGAATGACAGATTATTATGATGCATAATCAAACCAGCTATTATAAAAACTTATGGTCGAGTCTTTTTTATGGAGCGCAAACAAACTCTGTCAAGCTGCGTGTGATCAACTGGTAGAGTGTAAAAGTCTTGCTTTGTTAAAAGAGGAAGTTGAATAAAAGCAACGACAAAGGCTGAAATATTTACCCAAACGTCTTTAAATGGGCGTCTCAAGAACACACTATAACAACTTTCTTCTGCTCCTATAATCTGTTCTATATGTGATCTGTTTAAGCGTATGTGACCACATGTTTTGTACAGTATGTTTATGATTTCCTTTTTTAGGGAGTAGAGCTTTAGAGAGACGACAACACATACCGAGCAGTTTGGCATCATCACAACAAACCACTGTGAGACGAAGCGTAAACAACACAAGCACTGGCATACAAACTATGTTCTCGCTGACTCACTAACTTCTCCTCGCACCTCTCTCTCTCTGATTCACACTTAGTAGATTCTTAGCAGCAACAAGACCCTTTCCATCCCATCCCATCAGCAGCCTGTAATTATCCTGGCTGGAATTTATTCTCTCTCGCAGAGACTCTCGGCACTGATGCACGGCGCTGGGTCCAGCGAGTCTTCAGATGCAGGACGGTTACATTAAGGCCTTAACGCACAAAGAAGTGGCAAGTCCCTCCATATACACAATTCACTCGAGCTAAATGCAAACTCCACAAAGCATCAAAATGTGCATTGACGGAAAACGTGCATGTGATTATGATGATGCCACAAATGATTTAAGTTTTTTTCTTATTATTTCTGCTGCATTACCTGTGCTTTATCTATCTCCTACAAACATTTTACCACAAAGGAAACTGTTGGTTTTCTAGAGAAAGCCACAAACACTGCCTCTCTTCAGTGCACGTGAATGGAGGGATACATTATAACCATACATATAAAATGCACGTGACTAGATTTGAAAATCCATTTATATTTAACCTAAAGCTAAAACCTTGCACATACAGAGAATAACGAAACAAAGAAGACATTCTGAAACTACCAAATAACACAGATGCAGATTCAGATTGATAGCTTGACAGAGACTAGGCTTGTGAACGTACTTCAAAGGGTTCAAGATCAGTAGTTAATTTAATTTGGGTTTGGGTTAGGCCTGCGGGTTAACCAGCTAATTAAAGGTGAAAAAATTTCCCCTCAATCAAACCAAACCTGCCATTTTGGGGTTTCAAAAGTAAATTTGGTAATAAAATAAACTTAATAATCGTTAATATATAAAATTTTCCCATTGCATATGTGAGCACATCGAAGGGACCAAGGGAGCAGGGGCTTGTGGGCGTATCATCAGCAAGCAGCTTAAGCAGTTGCGGTTTTATCGTCCTGCAGTCAGACTTGTTTGTTTGTCGCAACACAGTTTAGAAAAGCACATGTAACCGTGGGCAGCCAGTTTTTCTGAAATCGACAACACTAAACTGATGAGTCACTTAAAGCACGTGGAGAAGGGGCTAAAATCTTTTCCCATTTTGAAGTAACAGAGCTTTCGTTTCCTTGTTAATTGGTATGGGAAACATTGAGTCTGGACACAACCGCTCAGGCTCTACATGTCAAATTATCCAACAAATTAAGGGTCGCTTAACATTTTTGCAGTCTATATTTAAATAATACAAATAGTTACATCAAAAGAAAACGTAATCTGATGTTCCATATATTAATATTACCAACATATTAGATTCCAGAGTGCCCAAAGAAAATTGACATTAAATTAAATGTTACGACTGGAAGTGACAGCTATCGAGACCAAGTGAACATAAAGAAAAACCCACAGGATCTGGTCACAAATATGCTACTTGGCCGAGTGTTTGCGTGTTGAAATGACTTCACCCTGTTTCCTGTCAAAGGTTTCCTCTGAGAAGGCCACAGGGTACTGGGACAGTGTCAATCTCACTCTCTTCTCACTGATCAAACACAGTTCCTATTTTTGAATTGAGGAAGTCACATACGGTTCATGCAATGAATTACAGTCTGCCTGGCCCCTGCTGGGGTGTAACTCATAAACTAAAAACAAACAGAGTCTAAAAAGTATATTTCAGCACACAGGCAGGTATTACAGGACAATTTCAGCATTTTAAGTTTTTTTTACCTCAGCACTTCGAAGCCCAAAATCAGCCTTGTGTTTTCAATGTTGCGTGGGTGTTGCAATGAGCTGTGTCAAGAAGTGTTGAGCTCTTTTAAAGAAGCTGAGAAAAAAAAAAGCTAAACACATTTGAAACAGCTAGGCCGTTTGAGTTCTTGGTAAACGCCTCACTGTTTGTGGCTGGTCAGCAGTTTTTGAGAGAGGTGCAACAAAAAACAAGATGTGAAGAGATAAAACCAGAACCAACACTTTCACATGCAAATTAAAAATAAAAAATGAAAAAATTGTAGCTATTTATACATTGACCAGATCAGACCCCAACCTTGACCCAAAATGAACTGAACTATGTGAATTTAAGCAATGCTAGCAGCATGTTGTTGTGATTATCGAGCCTTGAAAACAAACTCAAATTCCAAATAAAATTGATGTCGTCCTAGTATTCATCTAGTAACATTTTTTCAAATGAAAAGAAAAAAAAACATGCCAATTATAAATTCTTCATCTCAGAATTACCATGTTGTCAGCCATGCTAATGTTGAACAAGCTAACGCTCGGGTATACAGATAATGAAGTTCCTCATCAAGCACTTTTCAAGTTGTGGGTTTTCGACAGAATATATCTGCTTTTTGCATTTTTTTTACAGTCAGCTAAACCCATCTTGGTGTGAAGATGAACTTGGTGTGAAAGGGAGAAGCAAAACCAAACAAGCCTATTTACAAAAAAAAAAAAGGCTACGATTAAAACCATTTAAATCAAATCCTACAAAACTACTGTTAGTGAGCTGCAGCTTTGGTTCAAAGATTAACTTTTTCATCTTTTTAATCGTTTTATTTTTTTGCCTCTTTCAAATCTTTCCCACCTTTGTTCGTCTCCCTCTGCCACCGCCTCCCATTCAGAACGCTGCCAATAACAGCGTCTCTGTGCTGCTTTCACAATGGAGTATTTTGTTGCCTAGGAAAGAAGACAAGGCTGAGAAGAAGGAAGGATTCGTGGTGGTGGCCCACAGCCCGGTTCTGTACACACACACACACTCTCTCTCTCTAAAAACAAATCATCACCTACTGATACTACTTTCTGTGCAAGTTAATGTGTGTGAGAGAGAGAGAAAGAGTCTGGACTGTCTGAATTTGTTTCACCTCTCACATCCTCTTTTCATTTAACTTGCATACAAAGATTTCTGAAACTCACTTTTTTATCTGTTTCTCTCTTTCAGTGTGCTGAAGTACTTCCTCCATCATTTCTATTACTCTATAGAAACGCAAGAAATGTAAAATAACTTCTGAACCAATGGTGCCCTAATATTTTCCCCAAGAGGGCCAAAATGAAAATCTATCCGGGGCTGCGGGCCAAATGCAGTAATATAATACATGAAATACAAATACTTGTAAAGTCCTTTATTTTAATGATTAAGCTAGCAGCCAGTGTGGTGGCCCGCTTTTATTTTAGTCTGTACATTTGGAGAAAGTTTGCCATACAGTCCAGTAGCTAAGGCTCGTGGAACATTTCATAAATTGATAAAATATGAGTTTTTGTGGCCTTATAAAGTGTTAAAATCTACATGTGTGGTTAAATCTAATCTAAATATTGTTGTTACTTGTATTTCATGTTTAATCTTAATATATCAAAGATAAGTCAGCACCAAGAGTGAAAACTATCTCCCCAACAGCCCCTTGTATAGTCACTGGGCCAATGGATGAAATGACTAAGAGGAAATACTGTTTCTACAAAGGACGACAGGTTACAGCCTAGTAACTATGTCGACTGCTGGTGGGCCAAATCAAATGGCTGAATCTCCTCTGTTCTAAACACTTTGTCAGCATTACCTGAACTTGTTTTTAATCTAACCTCCCACAAGGCACAATAGACTAAATTTATGACCCTTATACAGTCTAATTTGTTTTATGTAACTGGCAATATACAATAAAATAAAGTCATACCAGAGCAAGTATCAGGCTGTTAGTCACAATGTGGCTGGTTGTCTGAGTGTTTCAGTGTGGTTTTAACCAACCACAGGAACCACTCTGTTTCATTTTCACATTTCTCTTGGAATATTTTCTTCATTTCTGTTTTTATTTTTAACAGTTTTAAGTTTTCATAAGGCTGGTACTAATATGATTTTTCATTCTAATGCTTCTGCAAGACTAATTAAAAACAGCTACATTTAGTATTGGACTACAAGATTTAATCAGTAGCAACAGATACTCAGATATAGAGACAACGCCCACACTTAACTGTACGTTACCTGAGATAGGTGATTATATTTTTTTTACAAAGCACCTCAAAATATTTCTAGTTCTTATCACTTTTAATTTTATAAAAAAAAATAATGGACTTTCACATTTCAAGATCCAAATATCTATTTAATTTTCATCCACTACAGTAATCTAAGGTTGAGTCATGGAGGTTAAATGTCCAGAAGGGAAACCCAGACATCCCTCTTCCCAGCAACATTTTCCAGGTCTTTCTGAGGAAACCACAATGTTCCAGTGCCAGAGGGGAAATAAAATACCTCCAGCAAGTTCTGGATCAGCCCAAAGGTACAAAAGCTCCAGGAGACATCCAAATGTCTGACAGAGCTGTTCACCTTGGTTGGAACCTCAATGAAATAGGTACTGATAAAGGAGCCGGTTCCACAAATCCTTGCTAGTGGAAAAGCCTTGGAACCGTGGAGAGCCAAGTCGAACCGTGCTGTAGAGATGCTAGTGGAAAAAGGGCATAAGTGTGAACCTGGTCACCCTATACTCTCTCTCCCATAGGTGAGAGTTGGGACATCAATGAGTCATTACATCAAGAGTTTCTCTTGTTGGCTCAACTCCTTTTCATCCTCATTACTGTGGATCACTCCCTGATTGGTCTATCCCTATCCTGCCAACACTCAGAGAAGAGACGATAACTCAAATAGGGGATGAAAATATTTCAAGATGTCAGCTGCATTTTCATCCACGTTCACTGACCTTTAGGATTAACCTTAACCCAGTTTGGACTCAAAGTTGTACAAGTGACAGTTTCATAAATAATACATAGGGATGCACTGAAAATTTCAGCTGATATCCGATATTAATATTGCTGTTATGGCTGATAACCAATATTTATTGATATTACACAAACACACAAATTATTTATATATACAGCATACTTGGATCTTTTTTCAATACCATAGAAAAAACAGACTAGACCGCTGACATGGCTCTCTACTTCAGTTATTACTGGCTTTGCAGCGTAACTATCACTAACTATCATGATCAAACAGATACCGCTCAACCAACCATTTCCCCTCCCAAAACAAAAACACAAACGGCAACAAGCTGGAAATCAATATCGAGCATTAATATCAGACCAATGTTAATGTCGATATATTGTGCATCCCTAATAATACATATTAAGATTTTACTTGTGTCAAACTAGATGGTGTATCACAAACACACCTGATTGCTGTCAGGTTATAAATGTTTACTTATTAATGTAAAAAGACACGTGCAGTCAAAGCCAAACTTTATATAAAATGAGTTTAGTTCACAAGCAGATATGGAAACTTCACAATGGCCTTTAGCTTCTGCAACGTTCTAAACTGCAGGAGCAAAAGTTACAGCCACACTTAGAAAAACTTTCATAAACAACCTTTGCAAGACCACATTCCCATTGTGCAACACAGGAATAGAATACTGCAGGCAAACACAACATTAGTGTGGCTTTGTTTTTGAAAATTAGTGCTGTCCCGACTAGTCAATGTCACCGGTTATGTCGGCTGCATAAATACGTCGACACGCACAACATACCATCGACACGTCGTTTTACGTGAATACGTCGAAAGAGGAGAAGGCAAAGAAAATGGCGACACCCGGTCCAAGCAGTACACGTGAAGAAGACCCCGATGACAGAGTTCAGCCAAGGAAACGTCCAAAGACGTCGAAAGTGTGGAAGTATTTTAAGAAAGAAAAGGGCTTGGTTGGTTGTTCACTCTGCAAAATGGAGTTAGCCTACCATAGTAGCACTACCGCAATGAACGAACACCTGAAGCGCAAACATCCTGGTGTTCTGCTCGAAGATGAAGGCAGGAGGAAAAGTGCAGAATCGTAAGTCCTGTTGTTATATTGCTTTTTGGTATTAACGTAATATATTAAGAATAATAACGTTGGCAGCAACAGTCTCTGTGGTACTTTCTGATCGTTAGAGTCGGCGTTGTCCTCGTCAGAGAAACTGAAACTTACACACTTCAGGCAGAAATGTTTTACATGCAGTGGGCAGTGTTGCTTTCACAAAAAAAACATTAAGGTGTTTCTTTTCCTCCACTTTCTCCTTGTTTACTGAGGAGTTTGCCATTAAAATCTTGACAACACCGTGATTTATGCGTCGTTTTATACCTAAGATTTCCATAAATTATTTTTTAATGGCTGTTAACAGCATTTTCTCATTTATGGATTGATATCGAATTGATAAAAAGGGAGATCCAAAATCCTTTCCATAAAAATATTTGCCTCTAATGTATTAACAAACAGAAGCAAGAATTTTGAACCTGTTTTTATTCAGATATTATTTTTTATTTTCACTAAGAAGTGTGTAATACAAAACATAATCATTAAATTTGGAAAGATACTTTTGGTTTTAAAAAGGTTCTGTATTCACCTGCAGTGTCTTGCCTTAAATTAATTCGTAGTGAGTTTGTGACACAGCAGTCCTTTTGAATTTATTATTCTGATCAGACATAATGGCAAATAGGTCTGCAGTATTATTGTCATACAGCAGTGACAAAATAATGGAATTAAACTATTTAAAATGCATTTCTTTTTCAGGACTACACAATGCAGTGTGGAAGAGTATTTTTTTAAGAAAACTAATAAGGCTGGAGAATGCACACCTGCRGAGGCTTCTGAGCTCACACAGAGCATCCTCAGCATGATTGTAAAGGACGTGAGGCCACTTGCAATTGTGGAGGGTGTTGGGTTCCAAGACATGATATAAACTTTTCATCCAGGATGCCTGCTTCCATCCAGGCACCACTTCACCAGTTTGATGGAGGAGAAATATAAGTCCACTCTTGAGAAAGTAAAAGTTGAAATAAAAAATGCAAAAACAAAAATCACACTCACAACTGATTTTTGGACAAGTGTTTCCACAGAGGCGTACTTGGGCATCACCTGTCATTTTCTGAAGGAGAACAGGGAGCTCACCTCTTACATCCTCACCACAATGCCACTGGAGGAGCGTCACGAGGCTGAAAACATTGCTGCCTGGTTAGAGCAAGTAGCAGAAAAGTTTGGCTTCTCCCTCAGTGGAGACGTCCTGGCAGTCGTGCACGACAATGGTGCAAATATCATTGCAGCTCTTAGGATCCTTAACCAGAGGCCTGGATTGGCTTCACAACGGTGTGCTGGCCACACACTTCAGTTAGTTGTTAATCATGCCCTGAAGCATTACCCCAAATAAACAAGACACTTGGGGCAGCAAGGTCACCTGTAGAATACTTCAGAAGGAGTGAGCTTGCAAGCACTAAGCTCAAAAGCAAACAAAAGTCAATGGGTGTAAGTGAGCACAAATTGATCCAGGATGTAGCMACAAGATGGAACAGCTCCTACTRCATGGTGAGTCGCCTCCTGGAGCAGCGGTGGCCAGTGACCGCAGTCCTTTCAGACCCAGAAATAACAAAGACATCAAAGCATTACCTGGATCTGAAGACTGGCCAGTGGGCCCTACTGGARGAACTGGAGCAGGTTCTGAAGCCCTTTGAGGAAGCCACTGTCTTTCTAAGTGCAGAAAATGATGTGACTATCTCTACACTACCCCAGCTGGTGAACGCCCTCCAGAAGTCCACACAGAACAGATCGTTTGAGTGTGCTCCAGTCAACGCTTTCCAAAYAACTGCAGAAGAGCAGATAGCTTCAAGATGGGTCAGTGAGACTACATTCAGCGAGGATGGTCCCAACGTGTCTCTACTTGCTGCTGCCCTCAACCCCAGGTTTGTTTTTTTCTTTTTCTTTATTTTTTTTATTTTGCCCAATTGTCTGTTGTGAAAACATTTTTTCCTTAGCCCTACTTTCTGCTTAATTTTTTTGTTCTCTTTTTTCATTATTACTGTTCTGTGTTCTCTTTCTCTTTCACCTTTTATTTTAAGAATAGTACTTTGTAACTTTTTTTGAAAAGTGTTTTATATTTTTTATTACAGGTACCGCAAGCTCAAGTTCCTGTCGCCAGACGAGATCCTAAAAGTGCAAGTTAAACTTCAGGGTCTTGCACTTGAAGCCAAGCGAAGGAATAAGGAACAGCTACAAGCTGGTTTGGAGCAGGATGACCAGCCAGAGGGAGCACTTCCCATCAAGGAGAGGAGGTCTCTGCTRGACGTGTTGATGGACACTGACTCAGATSACGACAACAATGAAAGAGACAATGGCCAGGAATATGATGGCGAAATGGTGAGGAAGGAGATGCTCATGTACTTTGGTGAGTACCATTGTCAAAAGGACAAGAGCACACTGCWGTGGTGGAAGGAAAATGCAGTAAAATTGCCCACCCTGGCTCTGCTGGCCAAATCATATTAAGCTGTCCCTGCAACATCAACTCCATGTGAACGCCTCTTCTCAGCTGCTGGGAACATTGTGACCAAAAAAAAGAGCAAGCCTGACTTCTGAGCACGTAGATATGCTCACATTCCTGCACTTCAAAGCCCAGTTTAGACTTTACGAGAGACTATTATTTAATCCTGTTGGAAAATTAACTGTTHAAGTTTGATTGCACTCAGTGTCATTTTTTTTATTTTATTTTTTATAGTTCAGCTACTTAGCTACAATTGTTCTTCTACCTCAGGTCTTGTTAATGTTTTTTGCTTAATGCAAAAAATCTGGAGTTAATGTAAACTACTGTTACTATTATTAAAATGGCACTTTTTTATTGCCAGAGAATTATATGGACAGCTAAAATTGCACCAAGTTTTTGGTGGTCTTTCAGAAAGTGACCTAAAGCACATATTTTGATTTTTGGATTGCATTGCTAAGATTGCACTATATTTATTT